GCCCCGAACCCCCCCCCCCCCCATCCACTCATGATGGCAACTCCGTATAGAAGACTAATTTCTTAAGCACCAATGCTTAAGATAAGCACCAGTGTGATATGATACACTATAATAAGTGATGTGAGATAATAATTGATTACAAAATTAATTACATTACCTATTAGAGTGTGCTACATCACTTGGTGTTTAGGAGATCAATTCTTATATATATATATAAAATAAAAAAGGGTATTTTGATAGAAAAATTAAGTAAATAATTCGTGTTTTCATTTTATATGGCAATAAAAGATTAGGATATTGGCAAAAAAAGGTTTCTATCTATCAATATTATCGCGAAAAACGTCATTACTTTTTATTTTTTGACATTTTCACCTTTATTTCCACATTTCATTGCGAAAATCATTATTTTCAACCGTTTTGTCAATTAAAAATTGTAAAATGATTAATATATCCTCATATTTAAAATAAAAAGAAATAAAAGAAAAAAAATAAAGAAGAAATTGTAACTATACTCCCAAAGTTTTCAAAAAAGTACAAATAAATAGTTAAAAAATAAAAAATAAAAATCAATTTATTTCCTAACCATGAAACCGCCACTTTAACTCACCGAAAACACCTCCCTAACCTTAGCCACCTGACACCACCACCACCATACAGCCCTTCATCTCATTGTCACAACGTACCAACTTGCTTGTCCAAACCCCATCGGATCTGACCGCAATTGACGGCCAAAACCTCAAACTTACAAATACTAAGGCCCTGTTCTCTTTACCGTTTTCGGGTCGTTTTCTGTTTTCGATTTTTCAAAACGGTGAAAACGTGTTCTCTTTCCCGTTTTCGAAAACGAATTTTCGAAAACGTTTTCGAAAACGAAAAAAAATTTGTGAAGAAAACACAAAACGACTTTTTTGTCGTTTTGGGCATTTTCAGTGTAAAACTTGAAAAAATTGAAAACGCGGGAAACACTTCTTTCTTTTTTTTTTGAGGAGGTGGTGTGGTGATTCTCAAAATTTCAAAAAAAAATTAAAAATTAAATTTTTTTTTTTTGAAGAGATAGTGTGGTGATTCTCAAAATTTCAAAAAAAAAAAATTTAATTAATTTTTTTTTTTTGGTTTTTTGAGGTGGTGTTGTGGTGATTCTCAAAATTTAAAAAAAAAAAAATTTTGAGGTGGTGTTGTGGTGATTCTCAAAATTTTAAAAAAAAAAAATTATTTTTTTTTGTTTTGAGAAACTAACAAAAAGAACGCATTTTCAACAATTTCAAAACAAAAACTCAAAATACAAAACTCAAAATGAATTCAAAACTCAAAACACAAAACTGAAACACAAAGAGAACACCCCCTAAACCATCGACACCATCTAACAAAATAACCTCTAATCGATCTACTGAACTGTCCCTGTTGAGACTATTGAGACTAAATTTGGAAGCAAGTGATCAACAATTGGATCAATTAAATGGTTGTCCATTTTCGTCTGAATTTTAATTTGATTTTTTCCAAGAAAATTTGTGGATTGGGCTATGTGGAAGCCATCAATTAGTGGGAGAAAATTGTCACTATCCACGAGTTATTTGTGCAAGAAAAACCAAAAAATTATCTATCGTTTGCCCTTTGTTGGATGAATTCTCTCCATGGAGTTTGTGCTCCTAAGGTGTGTGACCTAATCGGTGGTGGTCCATGATGGTGGGTGTAGTCAGAAGACGTGGTGCCACTATTTTTGGTATTTTCGACTTCCTAATTTTGAGCATTGAGTTCTTTATTTTAGTTTTATTTAAATAGAATGGTATATTTTTTATTTCACAGCTTTTAATTAACAAAATGAATGAAAATGATGATTTCTGCAATTAAATACTGAAATAAGGGTGAAAATACCAAAAAAAGAAAAGAAAAAGAAAGTATGAACGGTTTATTCTAATAACCCTAAAAGCATAAACTTTTCATGTCACGTCAAAACGACAAAATTGCACCACTCTTGCCATGCCATGCCATGGCAATTTCTGAGGCTGATGGTCAAATACCAATAGGCCAGAATCTACACATATAACAAGAGAGTAATAACAAAACTCATTTTGAGAAAAATCTCCCTAATATCGTGATATGAAAGCGACATGCCCGCCCTCAGCATCCATAACAAAATAAAACAAAATTCTTGTTGGGAGAAAGATTGCTCCATCCCCCAACCCCAACCTCACGCCACAACCAAACTCATCTAGAAATCATTGACTTTTTGCAAGCAAAAATCTATCCACACCAATTAAAAATTTGTTGTAAGTAATAGGAAAGTGACTATGGATCAACACAACATATGACAATGCCACCCCAATTCACTCTTCCCCTCAACCTCTCATAATTTCCTTCGAATTGAGTCGATATTCATTCAATATGGTCGTCATTCAGCTAAAAGAATTTTCGTTCTAGAACTGTATCCCCCCCACTATTTATTACTCTCTAGTTTTCGATATAGTCATTTTTCAATTAAAAAACCTCCTCTCCAAACCGTACATGAGACTTTCATTCTAAAATCATGCATAATTCAAGAACTGAATTTCCAAAAGCTCTCGGCTATACAAGAGAGAGTTTTGGGCATAGGAGGATTTTAAATTTTGATGCTAAGGTTAGAAAAACTGCTCAAAATTATGAGAACTATAGGAATTGGAATGGTGATCAGGGAGTTCAGTTTAGAACTCATCAAAGCATGGAAGAAGAAGAAGAAGATTCTGGTGTTTGCTCTCCACCTTTATGGAATAATGTCCCACAGGAAAATCTGTCGAATCGGCCGCTTCTTCACCACAGCAGGGTGCAGGACATTGTTAGAGGGCAGGGGGAACTTATGGATATGATCAAGAATTTGCCTGAGTCCTCTTATGAGCTCACCTTGAAAGATCTTGTAGAGCCGTCTATATTAGAAACTCAAGATCAAGATCAAGGTCAAGAAGAGGGATCGGATAAATTAATCACAAATCATGATGATCAAGTAGTAGATCAGATGGTGAAAGTGAAAAGGCAAGAGAGTATGGTAAAAGAGAAGAGGGCAAAGATGATTAGAAATGGAAGTATTGATAACAGGGGTTTATTTCTCAAAATGGTTTTTCCAATTACTTTTAAATCCAAGAAGAAGAAGAATTTAACAAATAATGCTAGTTCAAAAGTTTCTCCTAAGCCAGAGGTGTCATCAAAGGGGGCTGACAAGGAGTGGTGGAAGAAAAGATTTACATATTCAAGTAACAGTGATAATAGCAGAACAAGCAATTCCAATGGAAGTAAAGGGAGCAGCAGTGGTGACAGCTATGGCAGCAGGTATGTTCTGTTCAGAATTTCATTCTAAACCCCTTACGATATGCTAGGTATGTATGCTCGACCAGACAACATCAAATGGTATGAAAGAATAAAAAAAAAGTGAAAAATTTATAGGTATTGGATAGGATAAAGAAATAAAAGAAGTGAAAATCTTGTTTGTCGTCCTATATAGTTCTGGGCATGTTTAGTAGGGCAGCTCAACATGACAACACTTTATGATTAAGGAATAAAAGAAATCGAGTTCTTGCTTACTGTCGAATACATTGATGTCTATAATGATCACTGAAGAATGTCTTTCAACCCTTTATGGCATGTTTGGAACATAGGCTTGACTTGAAAAGATTAAGGAATAAAAGGAGCAAAAATTTTGTTTATTATCATGTACAGTTTTGTCCAATAATATTCTGTTCGGAATACCTAATGAGAACGGTGCTGACTAAAAATATGTTGTTGATTATAATGCAGGAGAAAGAATGGCTTCTTATCCAGTTGCTGGTCCTGCTTCCACTCGATGTAAAGCAAGTCTGTAGAGTAGGACTCCTTTTGTTGTTAGTTCATTATTGTTGAATACTTCCCTAAACAACCTGCCATAATACGCAGATAAAAGTATACTATATGAAGAGAAACTTGCAGTGTAAGTTTTCTACATTCTCTTTGTTATGGAAGATCTGATGATTCTTTTCTGTAGCTGCTACTACTGCATTCAACGTCACTTGTGAAAGTCTTGCCTTACGGGCTTATAAGCACTTTCTGCATGTCCACTCTATAAGAATATTTTTGATGAAGTACTCTACTTGTACAGATAATGAATAATTCTACATGTACATTATGATATCCATAATTCTACATGTACATTATGGTGTCTATAAAAATGTCAATAATGTACATATGAAATTCCATAATTGGAGGGTTGAAAAAATCGTTTTTCAATCCTCCAATGATGTTATGCCACATGTAGCATAACCCTTGATGAATTCTACCCAAGTATTAGTAACAGTGTTATGAGAACAATCACCCTTCATTGGAAACAGGCAAGCCCCAAGAGGGCTTAACTAAAACGTTATTTTTGTACACGCCAGTTTCAAAGAGGGGTGAATTCTAATAACTACTTCCAAGTCTCGCATCAAATGCAGTAAACCTGCATTTAACCTTATCAGCACGTTGGGCACCTCCCTTTAAATGAAGTTGAAACCCCATGAGATGCACGACTCCAATATACAGAATGTTAATACAGTTTACAAATCATCACCTGTATTAGAGATGAGCACCGTGATGGTTAATGGCAGTGCTTCTTAAGCTTTAAAAAATGAAATACCTTTCAATTTGTATAGAAATAAACAATTAGCCCCAAGGCAAGAGTGAATAGCAAGAAAGAGAACTGTTGAGAAAAGCTACACAAATGAAATTATTCAGTCAAATATTTTAATGCCTTTCAGAAGCTTCCATTTCAACCAAAGGGAGGCTAAACAAAACCTGACCGCATTCTATCATGTAAATATAAAATTATATGATGTTTGAAGGCGTTGTCCCATTGTGAAAACACTTGTACCAATGAAGAGTGGCCACGATTTGGCATGAATAAAGAAACTTCAAACAGCATACACTCATCATATAGCATTTGAAGAGTGTCAGTATCCAATATCTATCCAAAACCGACAAATAGTAGCATCCAGGCTTCGGCATAATATATTAAGGGTAAATCCCACATCGTATGAAAACAACTAGCATAAAAGGGCTTGAGTTTCTCTTTAACAATATTGATTTTTTAAGATGGAACTTCAAGACTCAATTTAAGTAGCTTGAGATCACCAATCGTGTATCTGAAGTTAACGGTGTATGATACACACCTAAGAGGAGTGTCCAGACCTTGGAATGGATAAAGCGGCTTCAGACCTCCAATAAATTGATTATAGAGAGTCTGAAGAGTGTTGGTGTTGGAGCTTCAGACCAACAATAAAACAATCATAATATTTGAAGAGTGCCAATACCTAACATGTATTCAACAATAAAATGACCGAATAGTGTCCGAGTGGCAGTGTGAGACATGTACTTGACACAGACACCTAGTATGAGCATCAAAGCTTCAGCATGATTAAAAGTTAGCTTCAGGCTTCCAATAAAGCCCAGAAAATGCAACAGCCTTCTAGAGCTAAATTTTGGAGCAAAGTACGAAAAGAGCATCATACATAGATCAAACAAACCTCTCTTAATCCATACAGATCACTTAAAAAAAATAAAAAAGGAGCTTAATTTTAGCAATGCAGAACTTTATCCAAACTAAGTCCTTGTTTGAGCCCCATTTTTCCATCAAAATATATTCTTCAACGGTGATTGACCTTATTTTAACCACACATTTTTCAATAAAATAATATTACACGCAAATCCATGAATGTTCTTTATTTTTTAACCACACATTTCTCATCAATACGCTATTCAAAAATTCATTTTTTGACAAGAATGGTGCTCAAACAAGGGCTAAATATGAGTGATTGGAAAGTAAGAAAACAACTTGCAAATTAACCAACACAATTTCATCTCTTCATCACAAGAAAGTTATGTGGGAACACATGATCAGATCTGTTGTGCAGATGTATGAAGTGAAGGAAATCAACAAAAGAAGACAAGGAAGTGCAGAACTATTATAACTTAAAATATAGAGTACTCACTATATGATGTGCCAACATCATTGATTACCGCAAAAACTGCAAAATTGCTTCCACCAGACTTACAATGTCGAGGTGGTTCAGATGGTAACAACCTGCTGCTTACCTATATTTCTTGGCTTTAGCCAACTTTTTCTTTTTCTTCTTCACAGCTTTGGGAACTTTATGCTTTCTAGCCTCCCTCTTCTCTTCTTTAACTTTCTTCTTGTTCTCTTTCCTGGCTGTTTTTCTATCGGTTGGCCCCTGCTTATTGCTTTCAGAAGACGAATCCTCTGATTCACTTGAATCGCTTTCACTGTCATCACTTCCAGACTCCGAATCACCATGGGTCAAGTCAGGATGTTCAGCGGCCTGAGCAGAGGTTCTGATTACTGGATTTTCATTCAACTGATGTTTCTCTGTTTCTGCTTGAGACGAATTAACCATAGAAAGAGCCTGCTTCAGACCCGTAATGGTCTGATAATACATGTCCCCTGTATCCTTGCCACTCGTAATTCGTTGCACATCTTCCTCAGCATTCTTCACGTGATCCAGTGTCTTTGGAATGAACGACTAGAAAAAAACAAACAAAATATAGCATTGAGAAATTCACAATTCATTCATCAAATCATTTTGCTAAAATAAAATGTAACTAAATTTTGAGCTTCAGATGAAATAAACACTAAACATAATTAGACAATACGGTAACAAAAGACTTGCCTAAATCATCAACTAAAATTTGTTTTTATATCTCCAAAACTGATTTAATATAAGCACGATGCGTCATCAATGACATTTTTGGGTTTTATTCAAATAAATAAAATAAAGCATAAATCAAACACGGTGCTAGTAATCAGGAAATTGACCACTCAATAGAAATTGTTGATCTCATGCAAGCACAAACCCGACAACAATATAATCACGTAATGAGATTCCAACAATCATTAAACATGCATTAAACTTAACAAGTAAAAATCCAACAACTGAATAACCCTGTTCCACAAATAAATTTTACACACATACACTTTGACCACTCTAGGTTCATTGCTAGATGAGGAGCTTCGAAAAAGGATTTGCGGAACGGACCCCAAATTTATTGGGAAAGTTCATTGCAAAGAATGTTAAGATGCTGAAGTGTTGAAGAATTTATGGGGAGAGAGAGAGAGAGAGAGAATAAATTCTACTGAAACCTGCACAAATACAGAATCTGCAATTTCTTCCTCCGCAGAGATCACATCACCTCTAGCCAAAATTTTTTGTTGCACCTGCAACAAATCAAAAGCAGTTACAATGAATATTAAAAGTTTTGCCATTAGACCATAGCTATTGGAAATTACCTCTTCAAGATAACTGTCCACAGAATCATCGTCAATAGTGGGATCCACTATAAAATCAAACAGTTCCCGAATTGTCATAACAGCTATGCCGTGTTTTTTAAAGAAATCCTGCAGGCCACACTTACACAATTTAATCAACATCAACATCGTTAATTGCCGTAACACTTATTCATTTGCATAAATTATTCAACTGAAAACCTTGATACTTAAGAAGAGAGAGAGAGAGAGAGAGAAGGGGGGGGGGGGGGGGGCCAACTTTTTTTTTTTACCATTCCTTTTTTTTATACTCACCGAAACATGTATACAATCCTCACGAAGGAAATCAAGGGCATGTGGATGGTCAAGATCAACTGATTGTGAAACATCAATAACATACAAGTGTCCCTGCTCAATATACTTATCAGAAATTGTTCATAGTCAAAGGTACCGTGTTTATAAACCAGAGAAAATAAAGATTTACCTCGAAATACAGTATGTTATATTCACTGAGATCCCCATGCACCAGTTTACACTTCTGATATAACGTTCGCATGGCCACAATCATCTGGAAAATATGACAGAAAACAGTTAAACTCAAAACTTCTTTCCCTCTTTTCTCGGTTGGGAGGGGAGCATGTGCATCGTAACATTAAATCAAAAACAAACATATCGACCAATTAAGCTCTTTTCATAAGTCGTCATCTATAAATTGGTGGTTATCCATTTTTTAAAAATAAAAGGGAGCAATGTTACAATGGAGCCCATAACAGACAGTTTACGAATGTGACCCTTCCCATGGATCATTATAATTTGTACAACGGGGTCATGATAAATTATTTACCTTGTGAAGATTGGGATACATTTGAGTAAGCTTAATAACTTTTTAATCTGATTCACAGAAAGACTAAAGGGAGTGCCATCAAACCTTTCGCATGGAAGGTTGTCTTTATGATAAAATTTTCAACATAACATTTGTGACTCATAAATATTAGAGGGAAGCTATAGAAAATAAATCAACAAACTCAGTATTCCAGATCAACGGTGTACCAAATTTCCTAACAATCTCCCAAGTCAGAAGTAGATTTATGATAAATCTGGATCTGACAAAATCGACCAATAAATATCAGTTAATAAGAGGATCAAATCAATGTAGCTTATATAAAGCCAACTCAAGTCAGCCATCTACATAGCCCACCTCTCTTTATTCAGGCATCAAACTAGTTGTCAAAATATAAAGAAGCTAATAGATATATCTGAACCCACCTCCACATAGCCTTCACGTAACTTGTCAAGCGATAAAGCAGCATCCTTGAGCCGAGGTGCAGCCCAACCTGCCTTGCCTGTCATAAAACGAAATTCACCATTACTTCTAACAATGAAAGCAAAGATACTCGAGCAGAATATCAAGGCAATACCTATGAATTCCATAACCAGAACATGAAGCCTCAAAAGAAGGGGAGCTGGACACCTGATTCCTGCAGCCCTTAATCTGCAGTTCACCCACGAGCACTGATGAAATTGAATCACAACAGAGAAACAATAATAATACCTATATATATTTTGACATAATCCTTTCAACCTGATTTTGGCACTAAAGCACCCACAAGTCTACAACAATTTGTAACATTTATTGCAACTAAAATTTCATACAAAATTAATTCCCTGATTAACTGCTATTATAGTGACTGTCATTTGATCAAAACATTGTTGCCTAGAAACAAGTGTG